AAAAATATTATTAATAATACTTTCTTTTGAGGGGAGCCTTGGCGTAGCTGGTAAAGTTGCTGCCATGTGACCTGTAGGTCACGGGTTCAAGCCGTGGAAACAACTTCTTGCAGAAATGCAGGGTAATGTTGCGTACAATAAACCCTTGTGGTCCGACTCTTCCCCGAACCCCGCGCATAGCGGGAGCTTAGTGCACCGAGCTGCCCTTTAATAGTACTTTCTTTTCGTGTTATAAGTAGTTTTTTTTTCATTTCAACAAATGAGTTTTTTTCATGATACAAAAAAGTATTTTTTTCGTTTTAACCAAAAAAATGCTTTCTTTTCATGTAGAAACAATATTTTTTTTTAATTCAACAAAAAAGTATTATCTATTATTTCAATAAATTGAGTACTTTATTTTCATGTTGTAGAAAGAGTACTTTTTCTACTATCTAAAAACACTGGAATTTTTTTTTCACTCACCAACCAAACAAGTAAAAATAAGTGATAAAATCACTCATTTTCATGGAAAACATTTTCCTTCGTACCAAACACACCCTAAGATATATTTACTAGTCCCTGAATATGGTTAGTTACCTTTACATTTATATAAGTTCAACAAGATACTACAAAGTTTAGGTGCAAAAGATACTCGTTTCCTGTTAATTACATTCTTAGTCTAGAATTAATCTTGAAACATTTACTACAATTTGTCAAAATTCTGTGAGAATTTCATTTGGAGTTTTACTAAATTTCACTAAAAAAAATTCTATCATACTTGTTGATTGTAGACTGTTGAATTGAAAAGACCCCCTTTTAGCATAAGAAACACCAGTTATTGTATGCATTTACAGAATTTATTCTTTTCTAATAAAAATAGATCCTAATTTGTCCACGATGATAGTGTCCAGTAAGGGTTTCATAAGAAGTTACTCTTGTTCTTCTCTTTCTCACGAAAGATTGTAATTTGAGGATGTGCCCACCAAGAAACTCCTTGTAAAGAAGCCTCAAATTGGCTTTTATTAATACATCCAAATGGGAAATAACCAAAACAACACGAGTGTACAAGAATGGTAGAAAGGCCATTTGTCCAAAAGCTGGGGTGAGTTTGTGAAATAAAAAATGATTCGGAATTTATGATTTAAGTTATATGCACCAACAATATCAAGTGATGTTAGCAACCATTGGCACAAAATACCTTATCACATAATTTATCGGAAATAGTCTCTCTACTTTTTAGTAGGGTTAACATCTACGTATACACTACCCTTCCTAGACCTCACTTATGAGATTATAGTGAGGTTGTTGTTCTTGTACCTGGGGAATAAAAACTATCAAGACAAAACAGGACAAAACTTCCCTTAAGTGAAATTTTTTTGTTAGATGGCCACCTCAAACTCCATCTATTTTAAATTTAATAGCAGGAAAATAGAGAAAAAAGAAAAAAGGATAGTGGAAGGGACTATAAAATGACAGATGACAAGGAAAGAAACAACCATAATAGCTTGAGTAATCAAATGCTAGAATGACATTATGCTATTTAGAGACTCGTTTGATTAGTAGGATGTGATAGACAAGAATACCCATTACAGTGGCATAGTCAAGTATTTCGTTTTCAAACTTTAATGACGTCAACAATTTTTTTTAGAATAGGTGCACCGAACGTTTTAAATTAAATTACACAACATATAGCTAAACAATATGTTGGTGGTGGACAAAGGAGTGTCTCCGGCAGATACAAAGGAGAATGGTGGTGGAATGAAGTGGTACAAGGTAAAGTGGAAGCCAAAAAGGAGGCGTACCGGGCGTTAGGGGGGAGCATAGGCGAGGGGGAGAGGCGAGCGTGCATGGAGTGGTATAAGGTAGTTAGGAAGGAAGCAAAGATGGCGGTCACGGAAACTAAGACTGCGGCTTATAGTCGTATGTACGAGGAACTAGGGGAAAAAGGAGGGGAGAATAAGT